GGTCAATATGTGCCCGTGGTTCCTCTTCCCCTTTTGGTGAGTGTCAGGGTGCACGTGTTGCCTGGGGACACGCCGGGGGTTGGGGACATCCCGGCAGCGGGACCAGCCCCACTGCCCCTTTTTCCTGTGAAATCCCCCAGTTTGGGGAACAGAGAGAGAAAAACAAAAGAAAACCCAACCAAACCCTTCCTCGTGGTGTTGGTTTGGTTTTTTTCCTCTAACGCTCCCAGAAGATCCCCAAGCTCAGCACTGTCAGGTTGTGCAGCCCGAGGGGACATGGGGACATCCCTGCTTGTCCCTTGTGACTCTTCACTGTGTCCCATTAGAGGGTTTAATTGTCCTAAATGACCCATGTAGCTCGTGCTCTGCTGGTGCCCCGGGCAGGACACAGGGTGGCTGTCCCCAGGCTGGGTCTGTCCCTCTGGCAGCAGCCAGGGGGGACAACAGGGTGACAATGGCGTGACAAGGGGGTGACACCGGCCCAGCAGGGCCACGGGTCCTTATCTCTTAGTGCCACAGCCCCGATAAGGAGTGTTGGGGGCACGGGGGTGGCTGTAAACATTAACCCAGAGGAGCTGCCTGAGGGTGGATCTCCCTGGGAAAAGTCCCTGGAGCTCCCAGAGCTCCTGTCCCCAGAGTGGGGGTCCCAAGGGACCAAGATCCTCAAGGACAGGTCCCTAGAGCCCACATCGGGCCCAGGACCCGAGAGGAGGTGGCTGAAGCCCAGATCCCTCAAGCCCCAGTCCCCAGAGACCCCATGTGCAGATTGGAGGTCCCCATAGCTTGTGTCCCTCAAGTCCTGCTCTCCCAAGACTACATCCCCAGCATGAAGGTCCCCACATCCTTCAAGCCCAGGTCCCCACACAATATGTGTCACCAACCTCTATGGTGGCACAACCCAGGGGGTACCCAGGTTTCCCTCATCCCTGGGTGCTGGAGACACCTGGAAATGGGGGGAAGAAGCCACATCCCAGCTGGATATTGTGCCAGGCAGAAGGTCAAGGTTGCACCCAACACCCACCTCAAGGACACCAACCACCCAAAGGTCTCTGGAGCTTTGCCCAGACATTACTTCCCTGCTGCTGGTGGGATGGGGATGGTGCTGGCCCAGCCCTGGAAAACCATAAGGATTGATGGGCAAATCCATATGGAACCAGCTCTGTGTGGAGGGGGAGATCTGAGGTGTGGGGTCTCCAGCTGGAGATGACCCACTGGGGGCTTCAGTGGGAGCCCCCCAGCTGGTTGGGTGGGAGAAGCAGCACCCCTGTTCCCATCACTTTATTCATTGACATCATTTACATTCTTTCTCTTTTATAGAAAATATATAGAAATATATAAAACACCCTGAACACCCCCCAAAAAAACCCACACCCTTTCCCAAAGAGGCTGGTTTGCTATAAAATACAATAATTTAGCAATAAATAATAATTAATAATTAAAAAAAGTTGTATAAATAAGTCTCCAAGAAGAGAAAAGATGATGGGGACACCCAGGTCAGACTCCCCCTGTCCATCTGGGCTCTCTTGGGTGGGAAGGATCCACCTACCAAATAAAATATGGATTTAAATAAGGGAAAAAAGGGAGGAGGAAAAAGTTCTGGTGGTTTGTGGATTGGAGGGGTGGGGGAAACAACTGGAGGTTCTGGAGATGGTGGAGCTGGAAGCACTTTGTGCCACGGGGGCTGGATTTTGAGATGCTGGAGCTGGTGGAGGATGGAGCAGGTTCAGTGCCACCTGTGATGGTGGGGCTCATCCAGGTGATGCCATCAGGCACAGTGGCAGCTGGTGACCAACATGTCCTCAAAGAGGGTGGAGACCAACCTGCCCTCACCATCGTAGTGCATCAGCACCATGGGGTCATAGGCAGCGGGGACGCAGCAGGGCGGGGGGGTGGCTTTGGACAGGGCGTGCACACGGGCCTGGATCTGGGCGTGCATGCTGGCTGCCTTGTAGTTGTGGGGACAGGAACCTTGGCAGAACCTCATGTGGTAGCTGTTGGGGGCGATGATCCAGTCTGACCAGCCGATGTCCCGGGAGGAGG